AGGTGGGAAAGCTTGGAACTGGTAGTGATTTGCCATACAGAATTGCTGTACATCCTGGAGGAGAAGGCCTTATTTGTTCATTGCCTAAGAGCTGCAGGGACGTTCTGTAGCTATATTTCCATGTGAAACTGGCGATCATGTTATGGCCAAGATTGTCTTTCCAAGTCTTAGAGATGTTGAATTTACTCGATTGACGTTTCCCTGCAGTATTTATGTTTCTTAGGTGTTTCTATACCAATCTATGGCATTATATGAAAACTCTGCTAGGTGATTTGGTGGGATCAACTCTATATTTATGGATTCTTTTCATCTGCATATGCTTAAAGTTTAGTAACATTAGAAAAGTCGTCTTCATCCTATTTTTTCCAGGGTGGGACTCCCACATCAGAATGTAATGATTAACCATTGAATTTGATCGAATCATTTGAATCTTTTGTCTTTGATTTACAGAGGGTGGAGCTGTAAACTGTAAAGCCTAAGGACTAAGGAGTAAGGAATAATCAATTTCTTGATTCCATGAGACTGTGAGAGAAATAATCAATCCGGGTATGTTTCTTGATTCCATGAGAGATTCTTCATTCTTGACTTCTTGTTTCCAGCTTTACTGGTTTATTTGTTTACTGTATTTTATTTTGTGATTGAGAATTGGAGTATGGATATTGGATAATGGATGTTTGATAAAGGATGATAGGGGTTAAAGTTTGAAATGGGATTTTATAAATCTGCAATTCTGTAACAAATCGGTGGCCAATGGTACTCATTTGCACTTGTTTTGCTCATATTACTGTAAGAAGTCCCCCAACATGTGTAGCTACTTTTCTGCTGCCTCTTCATTGCGTTATTCAAGTGTGAAACCACAGACATGGATTTTTTTAATCTGAGCAGATAGATGCTCCACGGAAAGTTTCTGAGAGTTGAGTTTTGGCTGAATTTTTCAATAAGTCACGTATGTAGCTAATTTTCTTGCTGCCTCTTCTTTGCAATTTTCAAGTGTCTATTGTGTTTTACATAATCACTGGGAAATACTTCTTTCTATATTTGATCTATATCATTTTTCTTTTCTCTTTGACACGTGATTGGATAATATATAGTGTTTAAATACACTACAGATATGCCTCAGTCTAAGATAGTCTGCTATGCAAAAATTGCTGTGCAACTGAAAAAGAAGACTGTCTGTGATGTGCCATTACATTGCAGATGGATGACTGTGAGTATTCCATAAACATTCTGCTCATTCTGTAATTATTTTTGCTTAACAACATTCATATTACCAATCAGCTGAAATTGCATAAGAAATTGGATGGATATGCTATTTAGTTGAAATTGTTGCTGGACTGGGTGTATTGGGGGCCTCAGATTTATCAGGAAGTTTCAGTTTAATATCTTCAAAAAGAATTTAGCAGGACTAAACTAATGATCTTGTAGAGGTCAGTGCTTCGTATACAAGTAATCTTCCTCCTCTCCCCATATGTATTCTGAACTTTCTGTTTTGCAATTTGAGTTTCAATGTGGTGATTTGAATTTTTTGGAATTAAAGAAGCTATCTTCAAATACCAGAAAGGTAAAAACAGAAAGATAAGAGGTGTAGAGAAAGAAAACAAGGCGTCAAACCTACAATCCCATGTCATTACATTAATGGTTTGATTAATCACTCGATCACAATACAACATTCAATGGCACTCTAAGTAATCAGTGCCTCTATCAAGTAAAGAAGAGTACCAACCTGGAGACCAACAAGGTGTCCTAAATTTACCCAATAATGATGGGTACACTGAATCCTGAAGAGATAGCCAATGAATTTCTTCCTCAATGCTTATGGGTTCTGAGAGATCCATTATTTGGACATTGAACTCTCTCGAACTGAAACTAAGTACATAGAAAACTAGTAGTAACCTATTCTAGATCATCAAGAATGACCAAAATGGAAATTGATCCAACCTAAGATTAATTTAAAGAGCTTCCTAGAAACTACTGAACATGTGAAATTTAAAATTGCTGAATACTGTGGAAAACAGATTTAATAGCAAAATAACAGAGATCTAACTGGAGCCTGAGTTTTACTATAAAACTTTGAAGGATGAATATGAGAAAACAAATTGGTTTGGAACAAATTACAACAAATTTAAGCAAGTGTTTGGTCTTGAGGTTATTTAATGGCTGACAGAATTATTCAATGAGATTTTAAAAGAGTAAAAAGAAGTCTAACAAGTGGAGGAACATTTTTCTAGCATTTACTTATAAGCATAAAGGATGGAGAGACTATTTAAGAGAATGAAGGATGTATTTAAGATTGTACCAATCACATGACTGAGAAGGGATTAAGGATTCAAAGATCTTAAACAAACTGTTTGTTTGTTATGTTAGGCAGATCTACTATAAGCTACTTAAGGGAAATACTTGAGAAAAAAATGATGTCCACATGAGCCAATCATAAGATGTCAAGAGAAGTGTTATAGTTGGGGGCCTGAGACAATAAACTTCTACTGAATATGAATATTATTAAAAGATATATATGATGCACCTCCGTTCACTCTTTGTTAATGCTGTTAATTGGCGGGTTTATAATAGATTTTTAATCTACTTTGTTTTACAGCCAGCAGAAATGAGCCTTCAAAAGATTGAAGATAAATTAGGCTCCCTTATTCAAGCAGATACAGTTGCACATTTGATTGTTTGAAGAGTGCTGTGTGGAAAGAGCGGCTTGAAGGTTTATATTTTAATTTGTTCTCTTTATTGTTGAGTTTATTAAAGTTGATTCTAATCTAATATTTTTTGCAATAAAAACATACAAATCGTCTTGTTCCATTAAGTATGGAGGTTTGAAATGAAACTTGTTTTTAGTAAGCTTTGGAGTTTGAATGGAATGTTCTTATTTGGACTTACAGCCTCAAGCTTAATAATGCAATAGCTTGTAACTTATCTATGATGAAGTCTATCTTTTGAAATACTTTTGAAATGTATAAAACATCTTTGTTGGCTTCTAAATATGTCATCTATCATATCATCTATTAATTCTAAATAAATTCTATGTTCTCCTAATAATAGAGCAAGGACTTTATGCTTTTTTCTTTGCTTTCTATGAGTTTTCTTACCAGTTCTTCTACTTGTTTCGTCTGGTTGCACTTGCAATATTGAAATTATAACCATTCTACTATATTTGATCCCCATTTATATGTGTCTATATACACTACAAGAACCAAAGGAACTAAAGAAGGAAAAAGAAAAGAAAGGTGAAAGAAAAAGAAAAAAAGAACATGCTTTGCTACAAAAACTCACAATTATATTACTTCACATACAATTATACAAACAATACATTACTTATACTAAAAGAAACCATTACCAATACATACACTTGACGTCGAGTCATGCAACGCACGTCCCAACACTAGTTGATAAAGAAACTTAACTCTCGTGTTCGTTTTTCATTCTAATGTCGTAAAATTGCATCAATGGACATTAATGAAGACATAATGTATTTAGTATTAACTAATTTAACCGACATTTTAATAATTGGTTTGGTACTTCAATTCTATACATGGAATGTTAAATATTAGACTTTTTAATATCAACTAACTTTTAACGATTACGGTCACAGAGTCGTGGTAGGCTTAATTTGGTTGAAAGTTAACTAATTCTCACATTCTTTCTAAAATTAGTTCCTAACAATCGCAACTACAACACGTGCAGTTGTGTATGATATAATCATACTAAATGGAACTTGAAAAACACGTGGCACTTCTTTTATTATTTATTAAGATTTTAACTACTTTATTTGGTACTTTGATTCCTTTATCAAATATTTAAGTGTTTAGAGTTTGTGATATTGGGTATAATCTACGATAATTTGGCTGTTAAGTGGAATGATCACCATTTTTTGGGAAATATGTAACGAATCACAAGCTTTTAAGTAAAATAGTGACTCTTATTAAAAAGTTCCAATATTAAAATCCTTAATTAACCTTTTTAGGTAATTCTTGATCTGTTGATCATTTTAACATCCTTGAAAAGATTTTTTTGGTGGGATAAAATCAAGAAACAAATTTCAGTTTCTTTTTTTGTTTATGTTTTTAATTCTTCAAGAAAAGTAGAAATAGTACAAACTGTCACTTTGCAGACTGTGAGTTTCTATTAGTTTGTATTGATTTTTCATCAGATGTGAAATTTTAATATAGAGAATTTTTTTTTTAATTTACGTATAAAATTAGTTCATGAGAGAATGTATGATTGAAAATAAATTTTTTTAAAAAATGGAACTCAAACATGAGCATAATATGTTAATGAAATACTGTATATTAGTCAGAATTAAATATTATTGAACAATAATATAAGGTGATGTGACATAGTATTTAATAGGTCCGGGCAAAACAATCGAAAAATCGACCAAACCGATTAAACTGAACCAACTCGAGTTGGTTTGGCTGAGCAAATCGGTTCTAATCGGTTAATGTAAAACCACTAACATGATGGGTTGGGTTGGTTATGGGTTAAGGCCCGGCCCGATCCGACCCGATCCAATTTTATATATATATATAATTTTTTTTTAAGAGTCTTAGTTTTTAAAGTTCACAGATTTTAAAGGTTTGTTTAAGCCCTGTTCTCTTTGTCGTTTTCCAGCTATTTTCTGTTTTTAATTTATCAAAACAACGAAAATGCGTTCTCTATTTTATTTTCAAAAACACATTTTGGAAAATGAAAAAAAAAAGTATAACAGAAAACGGAAACCAACAAAAACGTTGTTTTGTAAAATGGTAACACAAATCGGCCAAAAACCCAAAACACGCGAAATGGGCTCACTTTCACTCTACCCTCACCCTCACCCTCACTGAACGTTCTCCCTCTCTCTCAACTCTCTCACTCACCCACCGTCCCTGTACATTGTTCAACAGCGGCGAAATCCAACCAAATCGAAGGCTGAAACGACGGGACGAAGGGTGAACGACTGGATCTTCGAATTTTGGGGAACTTTGTTCCGGTCAAGCCAAATCGCAGGCTGCAACGACGGGTTTCAAGCCGAATCAAGATTTCGCTGAGCTAAATCAAGGTTTATTTCTTTGC